CCCCCGCGCGCGCTCCCGCCCGGCTCCATCCACCCAACCAGGAAGTGAACCGCCGCCGGAAGTGCCTCTCGGGGCGGCGTGGAGAGCTGCCGGGGCCTCTCCAGCCTCCGCCGCTTGGTCGCGACAGACGGGAAGGAGTCGATGGAAAGAAGGGAACCCGGGGAAGGGGGCTTCGCTGCAGAGAGTTTTGGAAAAGAACGTCTACATCGCCCGACCTGCAGGGCACGCTGGGAAAGGTAGTTCGGCGCAGTCCCGCGGCTGGACTACAACTCCCAGGATGCCCCTGGAGGAGCGGGTGAGGCAGTGGCGGTGCCCTCCGCGGCCTCGAAGGTGGTTAATGGGGTGGTGCATTTGTGGGGATTCGGTTATTTAAACACATCCGGTAAAGAAACTGCCACGGTCTAGGCGTCCCTTCTGCTGCAGGTTCCACCCTGCTGCAGCCATCTTCTTTGCGGCTGGCCTCCGGGCACAAGGGATTCTGGGGGCTGTGGTTTCCGAAGGGATCGAGGCTGACACCTGAAGGACGCCGCTGAAACGCTTAGCCTCCAGCGGGTCACGCGCCGACGTCACCTGGGCAGAAGGTGGAAGAGAGAGGGTGATCGGCAACAGTGTGCTGACAGTTGGTTCAGGCCACATCAGAACTCCGATCCTAAAACCAATACAACGGATGCTTTTCAGCCCCCCAACCTCAAAAGCTGCTTTTGCTCGAGATGTTCTTGAGAGTCGGCTCCTTGGTCAGTCCTAAACCAGGCGCCCTGAGAAAGCTCAGTAAGATAGTCTCATCCAAGAGTCTGCAGACGAAATTTAAACCGAGAAACTGCTAATGTTTGAGTTCAGGTCAGGGTTCTAGGATGCCAGGAGATCCAGCCCATTGGTTCAACCCCAAACTTTGGGACTGGTCAGCCAATGGTGACCCTTAATTCTCCCACTTTTGCTAACACCCTGGGAGGGTCTGATCTTCACTGAACCCCTTCCACACAAGAACCCTACGCGGACATACTATTTTTCACTTCAAGAGTCTTCCATTAATGCTTATTGGTTCCTGATGTCGCCTGAATGCCTAGGAAGGGAGTGGACTGTGTGATTTGCATCTGCCAACCCTAGAAGATTTGGAAAGCCAGTCCCTAGACTTCCTGAGAAGTGATGCTGAAGGTAGTAGCAAGTCCCTATCAAAACAAACAAATCCATTTGTTTAACCCCTGGATATAGACTATTTCTCACCTCCATCTGCTCTCCCCACTCCCTGACGCTGAGACAGCCCTCTGGATTTGTCATTCGTCTCAGAATTTTGTCTGATGAGAGTAGAGAAGGATTCCTCAGGAGAAAAATGGCCGTTTCCTTCTCTAATCTGAATATTGAGCTGAGCGCAACTGGGGTAAGCTGCTGCTGCCGTTTGTTTGAGTCCTGGGTGTAGAGATAGCATCTTTTCTTCTGGAGAGACAGTCTTGTCACCTCAGTTCACAAATTCATGCAGCTACCTTCAGGGTGAAATGCAGCACCTGCTAAAACATTCTCTCAGAGCAAGCCCACAGAGGCAAGTTCTTTGCACTTTCCTTAAAAGGCTAGATTTTTGTCTAAGGATGTTTAGGATCTTAAAATAGATAGGAATGCTCATTTGGAATTAGACTCCTTGACCCCCATCTTTCTCAGCACCTATTGGTTTTGACTGACTTTTTAAAAGAAGAAGTTTTGCTAGGTTCTAGAATCTGTTATTATTTTGGTTTTTACTTTTCTAGACTTTCCTGGTACTAGACTAGGCCAGGTCTATACAAATCTCAGTTCTTACTCCAAAGGTCAAATACTTCCAACATGGCCAAGCTGCTGTGGTACAGCAGTAATGGCAGTGTCCTGCATGGCTGGAAGCCACATGGCCCATCATGGGTTTAGATCCCTGGGTTGTAGAGCTAGGGCAGGCGCTGAGAATCCCGAGGCACTGGAGGGCCAGGGAAAGGGGATCAGAGTGTGACAAGAAAAAAAAACGTGGGCTGGCTGGTAGCCTGGTGGTTAAGAGTCAGATCCTGGGGCCAGCAGGTGACATGGTGGTTGAGGTGTTGGACTTCCCACATGGCAACCACAGTTCGAGTCCCAGACCTGGTGGCTTACTTTCTCACTTTCTCTCTCTTTCTGTCTCTCTAGTAAATTCATGTGAAAAAGTAGTAATGATAGTAAATCAAATAAAATAAATAATTCTTTAAAGAAAAAGAGAGAGAGAGAGAGAAAGAGAGAGTCAGATCCTACGTGACAACCACAATTTGAATCCCAACCCTAGTAGCTTGACAAACACTCTAGGTACTTTTGCAAGCATGCCCAAATCCCAAATCCCGACAGGACAGAGAAGTGGAGAACAGATTGTGGCATGGTCATGCCCCATTGAGGGGCTCTCTTTCTTTGTTTCTCTATCCCTGCATGGCGAGCACATGCACCCTCTGGAAATTAAAAAAAAAAGAAGAAGAAAGAAAAGAAAAGAAAAATACAATAAAAAAAATGAGGGAGCACTATAAGATGGTGTAATGGTTACGTCACTAGAACCTCACATTGAGGTTCGAGTCCTGGATCCAGCAGTTTCACACTCATGCTAGTCCCATGTGCATGCATGCCCAAGATCTCAAGAGGAGAATGGAGAAGAAAGGATTGTGTGGCTACCCCTCCTATGGGGGGGCGGGATTTCTCACTTTCTGCCTCTCTGTCTCTTCAGCAAGCACATGCACCCTGTAACAAAAATCTCTCTCCAAAAATATAATTTAATTTTTTTTTAAATTTAAGGTAACAAACATATAGTTATTGAACATCAGCTGGAGGCTTTGATCAGAATTATAATGACAAATCCACAGTTGTTTTTGTTTTACATATATTAAGTTATTCAATCTTTGCAACAAGCTAGGAAATAAAGTACTCTCATTATATGTATTTTATAGGCGGGGAACTGAAGCACAGAGGTAAGTAACTTGGTCGACATCACTCTGTTAGTAACCTACAAACCCAGGATTTAAACCCAGACATTTTGACTTTAGAGCCCAGTGCTTAGCAACACTAAACTACTTAGAGCAAACATTAAATGACTTGACAATAGTAAGAAACATATCTACAAGCAACACAGAACTAGGAAACAGGACTTACGCTGCTCTGTAGCTATGACCCTGGACCACTTAGGTCACTGACTATATTCTCAGCCCTAAGACCAGAACTCTCTTACAATTCTTAGTAATTCTCCAGTTGCTAAGTACAAAGCAATCAGAGATCAGCCACTCCCAAAATTCCTATTGCCTTTATTTTTTATATAATATGTCCTATCCTGCCTTTCATTTCTATTTCAACTTTTCATGTATATTAGCACCTTAACTAAGTACCTCAAAGCTGGGATTAGATCTCTGCTTAACTCCTTGAACATCTAATGCAGTTGTTTATAGAGAGGGTATTCTCACCAGTACTTTAAATAAACTAAATAACTGACTTTATTTTTTTAAGATTTTTTTTAAACTTTTATTTATTCATTTATTTTAATTTGACCAGAGATACACAGAGAAAGAAAGAGAAAGTGAGAAAGCAAGCCA